AATCATTCCTTTTGTCGTAAATTTTTAAGTAGAGAACCTGGTGTAAAACTGAAATATCTAAATCTAGGAAAGGACACATTGCTGTTAATATTTGCTTTGTCTAAAGTAAGTTGCTGTGGGTAAATTTTGGCAGTATATTTTGAAAATTCTTGATTATTTAACGAAAAAAATATCATCAAGATAACGATAAGTGTTGTTGAATTTATCAATTAAATGGAATTTAGACGGATATTTACTGATTTTGACAATAAACTGAGATTCATAACAGTACAGGAACAAGTCTGCTTTTCAAGGGGCACAATTGATGCCCATAGGAATACCTACAATCTGTCGATAAACTGTATTGCCAAAACGTACATAAATGGTGTCAAGGAGAAATTCATGGCTGTAATCATCTCATCATACCTCAAGTAAGTATATTAAGCATATATACCTTCTTGTTTGAGAAAAAGGCTTTATAGGAGTTGCAGCAAATAAATTTGCAATTTGATTTATCGAACGACCATTTAAATAAATAGGAAAACATTTGTTTGATAATAGTGTGTGGAAGTGTAATGTTAAGAGTGGAAAAATCAAAACTGTCAACCGAATCAAAAGGACCACCAAAAGCACGTAATTTATCTAAAACATCCAAAGAATTTTTTAAACACTAAAAATGGTTAATTCCACTATTTTCATATGTTTTATTACAAAAGTTAATGATCAATTCTTTGATAGTAGTTAAGGAACTCGTTAGTTTGTATTGGTACAGGCACGCTCTGTGGTGAAATTAGACTAGTGTTACGCGCACATAGACCAGCCCAATCTAGACCGCGTGTCGTGAAAAATAAACACATAACAAAACATTGCATGGTCATGCTACAGATAAGATAAACACTAACTTCAACAAATTAAAAAAAAGAGACGACACAGAATTTGAAAGCAGAATCGAAATGTACTTGATACTACAGGAAGCTAACTGAGATAGCCGCAGATGTTGTTTAGATATACTACAAGTTTTCTTAATGAATCAGTTTTATATTAATTTCATACACTTCTCGCCCATGCGATACTAACTTTCGGAATCGATATGAATTATATTAACTAACAAGACCTCCTAGAGCTACATATACATGTACATATATGCAATTCAATGTAGCTGACTGAAATAAACGTGTAACAAAACATGTATTCTATATATGACAAAGTTGAAATAAACAAATATGATATTCGGCGTGCAGTATAACAAATCAAGAGCTATTTTATGAATATGGAAATATTAAACATTAAATAGCTTACATGAAATCTTTTTAATATCGTTGATTAAAATTATCTTCAGTGTCGATAGATTCTCGCAACAAAGCAACGTGAAACAGTTTTGTCAAGTTGTCCATATTTCCTTTGTACACCAGAAAGCAAACATACGGGCTAATCAATCCTTTTTCAACTGATTAATATAGTTCGTTCTTATGTTGTAATGTAACACCACTGCCCTAGGTTAGTGGAAATTTGGGCGCCAGTAAAAACAGGTTTAACCCTGCCGTTTTCTGTATGTACCTGTCCGAAGTCAGGAACCTGTATTTCATTGGTTGCCGTTTGTTTATCGTTTACTGTTTTGTCTTGAAGAAATAATTGAAACCATTAGATTTACAAGTGGAAGTTCTCTAAATGACACAAAGACAGATCTCATTTGACAATTATTTAACTGTATAAAGGATCGGCAAGTTCAACCCTTGGTCATGAATAGAATTATTTTCATACAACCGTGAACACAATTTTCGTAAATAATTGATGATATTCAATTTAATACGAATTTAATGACACCTGTCAATCGTACAGCCCTTATTTGCATATTAATTTAAGTATAAAAACAGTAAATTAGACATTTGCTGTTTAGTTTAAATTTCCGCAAGGGGATTATTTCTAATCATCGTGTATTTTAGTCTGGTAGAGGTCCATTTAATGGTACATGCACTCTGATTAGCAGATCATAAAAGATAAATTATATGCATGGAAAGTAATATCAACTATAAATGGCGTTCATTATAAAATTGAATTAATTTTTTGAAAATTTATACGGAATGAAAGAATAGTCTTCATAAAATTTTGCATGCAACGCGGAAACGTCTCTTGCTAAAAATGTGATGGCCACTTGGTATCAATTCGTATAAAATAAAAAAAAACACAGCTTTCAATTCATAGTGTTACAGATTTTATGAATAAAAAAGTCTGTTTTGCACATTTTGAATCAGAAAGTACAACTTTAAAACAAAACTTCGGCAGAAATCGTCGAGTGAGTTTGAGACAGTATCATTCTACGTGAAATCATTTATAATACGTCATATAAGTGAAATTGGCATATGCAATTGTCGATTTCAAAGTAGTAACGTAGTAAGATATTTACAAACATCAATCGTTAATTTACATGTCGAAGGATAATGATTTATTGTTATATATTTATATGAATTATCAATATTTCAATATGCGCTATCGTTTGCACGAAGTACACGAACAATGCGAAAAAATAGTGTTGATTAATTATGTAGGCGTAGCTGATAATTCTATAATTTTGGGTTGCTTTCATAAGGCATTGGTTGTTTTCATACGAAATGATTCGTCTTTCAGCCAAAAAAAGATCACAAAATGTTTGAATAGAACACCTACCTGTTAATAATTAGAAATAAATTGTAGGCAGGCGTGATAAAATTTGTAAACCAAGACCAAAGGAACATTATCACAAAGGTCTTTCCGTACTCAAGTTCAAGTCTATAGAATTGTATATGGCACACCTCTCGAAATTTAGGCCATCAATCCTCTTCATCTTCGTACCTTATTTGTCCTTTTAAATTATTTGACTCGAGAGTCACTGGTAAGTCTTTGTAGACTAAACGAAAACCTGACCTACAAAATTATAATCCTGATATATTTGAAGAGTGTTTGAGTACAATCTTAAAGCAGAAAAGTTGTTCGGAAATGCAGAGGAGCAAAATATTTTCCATTGAAAATAATGTGCCTAGACTGCAATACACCCAATGTTTCATCTTACATTTACATGAATATCAATGATCTACATGGAATATTATGCGTAGAACATTTTATCTAAAAGTGTTGGCATTATGAAGAAAAATATGACATAGATCCGTTATGAGTAATTAATTTCAATCTTTTTGATGATTATGACAAATCACATTTAACAGATTTAAACACTCGTTACTTTACAAAATGGTCTCAAATGCGAAATTTAGGTGCTGTCTTAGTCGATCGTACCATTGTTATATACAACCATGGATATATTCATTTTGTTGTTGCTGCAATCGTGTCCTTCTCCCCCTTTTAATGTCCTTTTTGTCTTCTTGAGCAACATAATGAGTGCCACTAGAGAATAAGGCTACATGTACTTGTCTTTTTCTGAGGTCATCGCAAGGTTTCTACTGGTGTTAGTGTTGCGTTCTCCGGGTTGTATTAAATCTTATTTTGCAATGTCTAATAATAGTATGTTGTTTTAATTACAACATGAGGAAACATTTGTTATCCCCCGACAAATATAAAATGCATTCTAGGTCTCAAAAGCTACAAGATATTTTTTTTTCTTCTTCTTAAAAACTACATATTGTGAATTTATAAAAACAAAAACAACTACAAACTGTATGTTGATCATTCGGTCTTTTTTAAGGATAGTAATTTTTCATATACCAATAGTTTTTTAAGTGTGTATTTTGAATAAAAAACATTTTTTTTCGTTGGAATATTCAAATAACATATATTAGGAATGTATAAGTAACACTATTTTAATGATATGTCTTCACTATGTATTTTGTCGTTTTCTTTTAATGTATCAATACTTGCAAAAAAAGTTTTGATAAACTGTTAACACAGAGATATGTCTCGCCTATTTGTTATTTTGATAATGCAAATGTTGAAATTAAAATAGCAATACTTTAACATGTAAGTTATGCAAATATTCAAAGTCAATTAACCATGACTGAAGGTACAGGGCTAAACAATCTCCATGGAAATGAGATGTGCCAATGCTAATAAAACTGCAAACCAAATACCATTGACTTTTCAAAAGATGTTCCCTTTAAACAAACCTAAACACAAACATTAACTTGTAAAGTATGTAAAAGTTTCAAAGTCAATGAACCGTAATTAGGGGGTGGGGTTTTATAATCTCCATGGAAATAAAACTTGCAAATGCCAATACATTTGCATACCGAATATCCTTTACTTAACATTAGTGGTTCATCTTAAACTGACCTTATCACAAACTAATACATGTCAACTAAGCAAAAGTTTCAAAGTCAATAGACCATGACTGAGGGGTAAGGACCAATTAGCCCAATGGAAATGAGATGTGCTAATGCTTATACAACTGTATACAAATTATCATTGACCTACCACTAACAGTTCCCCTTAAACTGACCAATCACAAACTTAAACATGAAAACTAAGCAAAAATTTCAAAGTCAATAGACCATGAATGAGGGGGCGGGCCCAAATTATCTCCCTGGAAATGAAATATACCAATGCTAATACAACAACTGCATACCAAATATCATTGACCTACCACTAGTGGTTCTCCATAAACTGACCTAATCATAAACTAATACATGTAAACTAATCAAAGTTTCAAAGTCAATAGACCTTGACTGAGGGAGTGGGGCCAAATAATCTCCATGGTAATGAGATGTACCAATGCTAATACAACTGCATACCAAATATCATTGACCTACCACTAGTGGTTCCCCATAAACTGACCTAATCACAAACTAATACATGTAAACTAAGCAAAGTTTCAAAGTCAATAGACCTTGACTGTGGGGGCGGGGCCAAGCAATATCCATGGTAATGAGATGTGCCAATGCTAATACAACTGCATACCAAATATCATTGACCTACCACTAGTGGTTCACCATGAACTAGACCTAATTACAAACTAATACATTGTTAACGCCGCCGTTGCCGTCGCCGTTGCCGACGCCGGAAACAGCATACCTATGTCTTGCTTTTTGACTCCGTCAAGGCGAGACAGAAACAGGAAATAAAAGATTTTGTTTTATTAATTTTCAATTTGAACAATGATTTGGAAGAAAAAACATGTTAGTCACCAATGGTAGATATCAAATGTTGGACATCGCCTATAGAATTTGGATTAATTTAATACATACAGCAAGACCCGAATATCTTTAAAGATTAAATGGTAATAAACATTAACAGACATATATCTATGAAGAAACATTCATTCTCTTCTCACTATCTGATAAGTATCCATTAACATCTATGCACGAACTACATCTTTCTTCGTTAGAAATCTTCTCATTAAGTTCATATATTTCATTCTGTTCCATTTGCAATACATGACCGGTAGATGACGTTACCAGAGAATACTGCTGATTTTTACGAGTACTTCCCACAGTTGGATCATGTGTGCCAAGATTTTGGCTACATCGACGACATCTTTGTTTTACAAGTTGTCCTATAAATTAAGTAGAGTTTTATTATATGAACAAAAGAAGTGAAGAGAACTACATGTAATTCGATACATCCGATGGGTGTTCAATTGAGACTCATTTAAAAATAAGAGTGTGTGTATGTTTGTGTATGTGTTCTTGCTCATTACAAGACAGTTTTAACACAAATACGGAACTTATGGTGGTACTTGTACATGTAATTCAGGTTTGAATTTGGTGTCGTTGACAAACACATTTTATTAGTACTGTAACGGTTTAATGTCAAATAAAAGTTCGATATATTCATGAAATTCCAAGATAGTATTCATATAATTCATATAATTTGTTTCACAACCAGCACTAAAGCATCCATCAAATAAAAATTAAAATCTAATGTTGCATCATAATTGGGTAAGATCAAGACCCTAGTACGAAGCTATCTGGATCATGTGTTGTTCATTGTCGTTTTTGGTCGTACGTCTATTTATTGAAGTAGTCGGGTGTTTGTGTCAATTATTTTTCCATGCTTCTGCTTGAAATGTTTCGACTGAGATGTAAATGAGATAAACTCTAATGTAATCTACGTAGGAGAGGCAAAAGATACCAAAGGGACATTCAAACACATAAGTCGAAAATAAATTGAAAACACCATGGCTAAAAATGAAAAAGACCTACAGACAAACAACAGCACAAGAAACACAACATAGAAAACCAAAGAATGAGCAACACGAAAGCTACCACATATCGGTGGTGATCTCATGTGCTCCGGAAGGGTAATGCAATACCCAATTTCACAGAAATGAAAATAAGACAAACAAAGCATTCTAATAGTATTGCATCTGAAATAAAATGTCTCCTACCGACTGTAGCATTACATTTCATGAGTTTACACTTGTATTGAAAAAAGGATTACGTAATTATTGATGTATTTTAAAATTTCCATAACGTACATTAACAATAGTGTCATAAATATTTGACAATGCGAATGCTGTTAACAACTAGAGGCCAAGCTATTCCTTTCATGCTTCAAGACTTTCATTAATCTAAAAAATAACATTTCAGCGCACTGTTTCATGTCATAGAACCACAATATCCACAAAAAAAGTTCTACGTGAATAAAACTCAAAGCTTCATTTTAAACTATCCATTTAGCATCACATATAAATTGCGGAAAATTGATAATTGCAAGCAATTTTCTTTGTTTATGTACAACAACTTCTGCAAAAATCGTTCAACCGGATCAAAACTCATACTCGATCTGTAATATTTTATAATATGGTTAGAAATCAGATATATAATAAATAGTTTGAAACGTTTCAGAAAATGTACGGAAAGTTTGCTGACGGACGGGGATGGACGGGTAGTAGGCATATAAAGGAAGCTTAATACCAAAAGTTATGACAAAAGAGATGAGTTTTCATTTCCTATCGTTAGTTAGCCATTTTTAGATGGTGACGTTTCCTTGTTACCATCTTATGGTGTTTATATATCTGAACTTGTTCGATTCGCTCGTATATGTAACAACGTATTTGATTTTCACGAAAGAAATCTCTATATACTGAAAAATATTGATTCACTCATAGGGTCTTTGCATCCGAAATAAACACATTTATTCTAAAACCAGTTGTTGGCATGATACGGGTTATGTTCTTCTCATATATTTTAAAATGGTATGATTCTAAACCCCTAACGGGAGGGGTTGTGCTTGACTTTCAGATGATGAAGACATATTCTTTCAATCAGTTTAACTGAGGTCTGGAGCTGGCATGTCAGTAGCTGCTATTAGTCCTTTGTTAATTTATGTATCATTGTCATTTTGTTTAGTTTCTTTTGTTACATATTCTGACATCGGACTCGAACTTCTTTTAAACTGAGGTTTACTGTGCGTATCGCTGTGTGTTTCTTTATTCTACATTGCCTAGAGGTATAGGGGGAAGGTTGAGATTTCACAAAACATGTTTAACCCCGCCGCATTTTTGCGCCTGTCCCAAGTCAGGAGCCTCTCGCCATTGTTAGTCTTGTATGATTTTTACTTTTGGTTCATTCATATGTTTTGGAGTTTAGTATGACGACCATTTTAACTGTACTAGTTAGTACACATTTTTATTTAGGGGCCAGCTGAGGACCACCTCCGTGTGCGGGATTTTCTCGCTGCGTTGCCAACCCATTGGTGGCCTTCGACTGTTATCTGCTCTTTGGCCGGGTTGATGTCTCTTTGACATATTCCCCATTTCCATTCTCAATTTTATACCTATTGTCCACTTTAGCTTAACCAATAGAGGACTTGAAAACAACAAAAGAAAGAAAAAAATAACAAAATAGAAGATGAAATCAATAAAAATGAGAAATCGTTTGACACATTAATCTTTAAAACTTAAATTTTGATTAACTATCAAAGCCGTTTTTTACAACAAACAAAAGTGTATAAGTTATTCAACTTACTATGGCATAATATAGCTGTAAAAGCTTCTCTAAACTTCATCGACATAGCATTATAAAGTATAGGGTTTATAGCACTGTTCGTATAAACCATTATTCTACATACAAGCCAAAACCAGACATTTGAAATATTATAATCACTGAAGGAATTGTACACTACGACTGTTCTGTAAGGCATCCACATGATACAAAATACGGCTACAATGACAATCAGCATCTTTACAACCTGTAAATGAAAAAAGAGTTATTAACTTGCGTTTGATGTAGTCATAAGTTTAAATACACGACCTTTCAAAAACCCTGTTGTCCTGAACATGCATATTTGCCACTAGACATTAGGCAACCAACAATCAATCAAGCAATAATAAACACTGAAAAGTACTTGATGGGCTCAAATATAATCTTGCACCACTATTTGTGAAAAGACGTGATTGTCTTTATGTTCCGCGATCCGTTGTCGTTGATTCGATGTTTCTCGACTAAGATTTACTTTATTTAGTTTATATATAATATTGGACAGAAGTGAAAAGCAAAGTTCAACATTAACATCACTGCGAGGTACATGAAATAAAAGTACCTGAAATAAAGAGTGTTGTTGAGTTCTAGAAAATCGAACACTAGCAAGCAATTCCATTTTGGTCAATTTTCCCGACAAAATTGATTTTTCTGAAAGATGCGTTTGATGTAGTCAACAAGAATCCATAAACTCTATTCCTAAAAACGTGATTACTATTATGACCTTAAGGATGAAAATGAGAACGATAAAAAAAAATCAGAGGTAGAATTCTGGAGATGACCTTGACATCTTTTGGAAATATTAGCCTGTGTATATTAAACTTTATCTTTTGAACAAATTTTTATGTCTTTTTCACTGTTCTAGTCTAGTATCAGATGCCCTGTTGAATTATTTTTAAAGTAGAGACCATAGCTCTAATTTTAAATAAACTTTGCACGTTCATATGACCTTCTCATCTAGCTGCAATAAGACTAAGAAACATTAACTTTAACGTGGTGTTATATGAATAACTTGCCTAAGTTAGTATAAGATATTCTGAGACACAAACAAGTAGTCATAATTTGCCTCGACACATAGCAATTACTTTCTTGGTATATTGTTTAGGAGCAATGCTAGAATGAACATATGGTATTTGAGTGTAATTATGATAGCAAGTTGACATTCGATGTATTCATGATACTTTAAGAGGAAGAAATGTCTTTAACGTACAAACTTTTAATACAAATAATAGTAAAATACCCATAGGCACATTCTGAAATATTTGTGATATCAATATCTTCCTGGTTGCTTTCCTATTTTCGAATTCAAATATAATCATAATGAAATTTGACTCTATCTGGCAAGTTTTCAAATCTTCGCATTACAAACCTAGGAGAGAATTCATTTTAGACCCTTTTATTACTTCCTGGTTACAGATATATTTGTTTAAATAATTTATTCGTTTATCGTTTATTGTACAATTTAATGATTTGTTGGGATCAAGGAAGATCACGCAATGTCTGGTGAAAAGTCCCCTTTTTTCATCTGACATACTTTGGTATGGTGTAATTGTTTTAAAAATTATAAATCCTAAAGGAAAGATTGACTTTTTACAATGTTGGCGTTTCCGTATATCGCTTTTGGTTATTTAGTTCCAAAGTTGTACTAAATACTGTAAACCAACTAATTTTTGCGTGCAATTTATTTTCGCCACTTTCGCGAGTAAAAAAATAACGCGAATATAAGTCGTCGTGAAACTTCAAAACTTGGATCCTTCCTTATCTAACTACATCAAGTTGATTTAAAAATCGCGAAATTAAATCTCCGGGAAGTGGGCTAGAAAGAGCTAAACGCGAAAAAAAGTATCCGCGAAAATAAGTTGGTTTACAGTAATAAACATCAAAATATAGAACGAGAACAAAATTATCATATATCACATACATTTCAGTATAACTTATGGTAAATTTTGTTCTTATGATTTTTGATGATTAGACTCCCAGATATCACAAACTGTAGATACCTTTATGTGTGATTATATGAAATGCATAAAATGCATATTTTCCATCTTAAATGCAAGCTTACTTTTACGATGGACATGGTGTATTTGAGAATTGATTTCCATAACTATCGTGTCTATTTAGATGATTCATTATGCGGAGGATTAGGTAATTGCACAACATGTCTGGTTTTGATTTGAGAAATAACAAATTGCTGTCAGTTTTGATGTTAATCCAAGATTTTTGAATATCAAATCTTCGTTCATGATTCTTTACATGTCTAAAATGATTACGTTTTAGTTTATCATTTAATTAAGGGTCTCCTAAGACACTGTGCATACGCAAACATGCAGTATATTGTACCAATAAATAATTATCAAAGGGATTTTCTTTGGATAAATGCAATTACTTAACATGTTATTTCAACGACTGTTCGTGCAAAAAAATCTACAGTGCTTATTTGGTAATTTCTGTTGAATTACATAACGACAGACTTATAACACCGCAATTAGCGGTAGCAATGATTTAAACATAATTAATTTCCTCAGGTTCAGAACTTTAAGCTTGTTTTCAGTAACTTAGGCAATCAATAAAATTGAGAATGGAAATGGGGAATTTGTCAAAGAGACAACAATCCGACTAAAGAGCAGAAAACAGCCGAAGGCGACCAATCGGTCTTGAACACAGCGATAAAATCCCGCACCCAGAGGCGGGCTTCAGCTGGACCCTAAATAAAAATGTGTACTAGTTCAGTGAAAATGGACGTCACACTAAACTCCAAAACATATAAATGAACTAAAATTAAAAAAACATACAAGAATAACAAAGGTCAAAGACTCCTGACTTTGGACAGGCGCAAAAAAGCGGCGAGGTTAAACATGTTTTGTGAGATCTCAACCCATCCCCTATACCTTAAACCAATGTAGAATAAACAAACACACAGCAATACGCACAGAAAAACTCAGTTTAAAAGAAGTCCGAGTCCGATATCAGAATAGGTAACAAAAGAAACTAAGCAAAATGACAATGATACATAAATTAACAATGGAATACTAGCAGTTACTGACGTGCCAGCTCCAGACCTTAGTTAAACTGATTGAAAGTTTATGTCTTCATCATATGAAAATCAAGCACATTCTCTCTCGTTAGGGGTTTAGTATCATACCATCATAACATATATGAGAAGAACATAACCCGTATCATGTCACCAACTGGTTTTAGAATAAATGTGTTTATTTCCGATGCAAAGACCCTATGAGTGAATCAATATTAAAGCCAAAATATGCCATCTTTAATGATCTGACAACAGTATTGTAACTATATTCCTTCTGAATAAGTCTGTTTAAAGTTTTGGTTAGCTTTTGACGTCAGTGCCGACATCTTTGTGTTTTGTATATAATATTACCATGAGAGATTGAATGTGAAATACCTGATCGTATAAGATGTCTCCATGTTGATTTATATTTACGAATGATGTCCTTGTACCGATGATACAATTTAGTAAATGTTTTGACTAGTTTGTTATATCGAAAACCCTGATGTGTTAATTTTTCAGTAATACAGAGATTTCTTTTGTTATAATCAAATACGTAGTTACATACACGAGCGAATCGAACAAGTTCAGATATATAAACACCATAAGATGGTGACAAGGGAACGTCACCATCTAAAAATGGATAATCAACAATAGAAAATAAAAATTCATCTCTTTTGTCATAAATTTTGGTATTAAGCTTCCCGTTAAAGATATTTATATATATGAAGATCCAGGAAAGGGCAGTGTTCATTGTTAGTATTAGCTTTATTTTAAATCAGTTCAGCAGGATAAATCTCTTTAGTGTACACACTAAAGTCTTCATTATTGAGAGCTAATATATCATCCAAATATCTAAAAGTGTTAAACTTTTGTATCAGATGTTGTTTTGATTGGTCTTTGAAGAATTGAGTCATAAATTGTAACTCATAACAATACAGAAACAGGTTTGCAATACGTGATGCACAGTTAGTCTTCTGTTATACTATTTTTTTTTTTTTTTTTTTTTTTTTTTTTTTTTTTTTTTTTTGTATACTGTTTATTATTGATACGCTTGTGCTTGTATTGTTTTCACAAGTATATTTAATCTATGTCTGATACGGTCATTTTGATCTTTACAAGAACTGAACAATAAACAATTAAATTATTCTGAAAATTACTTGATAATTTATTGGTTTTTTTTTTGGAGCTGATCAGATCAAAATGACATTTTCAGATCAAAATTGGTGTACTAGTGTTTGTATCTTTCATGCACGCATGATAGAGGTAAATACCCCTCTTTTTTGTACTGATTTTTATTTTACATTCTTTATTATACCTTTAGTGATTCCACTGATCACTATAGAATGTGGGAGGATAGATATCTTTAAAAAAAACAGTTTAATTCCGCCACATGTACATATGTCTGACTTAAGTCAAGATCAACGTGAGGGACTTCATTAATTACATTTCATACTAAATACACACCTTTTAAAAATTATCCATTGTATTAATTTACCAAGGCGAAAACATACCATATCAATCAATCTTCTTAAAATTGCAATTTCCAGAGCATCTCATGCAAAGCCTCAATACATTTTGTGTGTCAGTTACATTAATAGTTTGAACATGAAAAACTTTTTTGTTTCTGGATTTTAATTAAGTCTGAACAGATATATTCTGCGCACTGCAAACGATTCATCGACAACATGTATTGCCTCAAACTAACGCCTTGGTGACACTGAGTTGGCATCTTGGGATGATGTTTGAACTAATAAAGAAAAGGATTTGTAATAAACTGCATTGGCCTTTACTTTTGTAAACTCATATATCTCTCACGTTATGAGACATTAAAATTTCATTTCATTGTAAATGTCAAATTAGACACATTATGCATATTACATTCTGATATTTGGCTTTAATAGCATTCATTTGTTTTCCTGCAATTATCAAAATTGAAGTCAAATAAACCGTTTTTAAATTCGCAAATTGTTTCTTAGAGGCATAGAAAAGCTTTTATAAGAATTTGATTATATTGTGGTAAAAATAGTGCATACGTTGGATGGGCGATTAAATTTAGCACGGTCATATAATAATGACAATTTAGTCTATTGAATACATCCAAATTCAATAATGTAGTGGAGTACGACACTAACATATGGTAAAAGCATACCTACTGTACATAAATTGAAAACTATTGTCAGAAGACTCGTTTCTATCAC